AAAGTGCCTCAAGTCTCTAAACCCTTCCCAGAGCTTAGGTCCCGATTATGTACCTAGTATTATTTTTAAAAATGTTCTGATATTCTGTGTCACCCTCTTACTGATCTATTTAACAAATCTTTTTCCGATAATATTGTGCCTGCCGTTTGGAAGGACATTAAAGTTGTACCCATACCTAAATCATCCACTGGAGCATGTGTCAAATTTAGACCCATTGCTATTACCTCTCCTTTTTTGAAAACTATGGAGAAATTACTTTTACTTAGTCTTGTACCTTCGCTTAAATCCTTTAATGACCCTAAACAATTCGCCTATAAGCACAGTAGAAGCACTTTAGATGCAGCTGCCGTCTTATATCATAACATTGCTTCCAGTCTAGACAAGGGGGCTAAATTTGTTCGTTGCGCCTTCCTAGACTATACATCTGCTTTTGACTCGGTCCCTAGGGACATCTTATTAAATAAACTTGCTGCTAGTCAAACAGAATGTTGGGCTGTTAACTGGTTACATTCCTATTTCTCAGATAGAAAGCAGTACACCGTATATAAAGGGAAGTCTTCCACTTCATTGCCTACTGAAGCTGGTGTCCCTCAAGGTGCTGTTCTTTCTCCTTTTCTTTTTTCTTTCTTCTTGCATGACTTGCCTCACTCTGATGAAATAAACTTTGTGAAGTACGCTGATGATTTAACGGTTTCAATGGCTGTTAACTCCCAGCTAGATTGTACTAAAATAAATAGCTTTCTATCGGGAGTCAGCAAATGGTCTGAGTCTAACGGTCTTAAACTGAATCCTTCTAAGTGTCAAACTGTTGATTTCAGCTTAAGATGTAAACGACAGTTAAAAGAAGTCATCGATTCTCATGACAGTTGTAAAATTGACGACAATGATATAGGAATCAAATCAGAAATTAAGTATCTTGGACTCATTCTCTCTTTTGATCTCTCCTGGTCTTCCCATGTCTTAGCAATCTCCAGTAAAATATTCCGCTTGACATTTTACATTAAGAAGTTAAGACACTCGGGTATAACTCAACCCTTCCTCTTACAGTTCATAAACTCTTGCATCCTACCTATTCTTCTTTATTGTTCACCCTTATTCTTTCCTGGTTTGCTTAAAAAGGACTATGTCACAATTCGTAGAATACTGAAGACTGTCAGTAGGGTGAGTGGTGTCCCAGTGGACCACATAGTTAACGTCGTTGTCGATAGGCACTTGACTTCATGCAATAAATTTGCTAAAGGGATTTTGTCTGACTTGGAGCATCCGCTTTACCCTCAGCTTTCACCTTGCATCTCCTCAGGTAGAACAAGGAGTAACTTCATAAAACTGTATGCTCGCACGTCTAAGTATAGAAATTCTATGATACCATACTTGGCACGTATTTTATGTGATGAAAATAGTGTCAGGCAACAATTAACTAACCTTTTTTCATCTAGTAAATAAACGATTTCCTCCATCCATCCTTATATACCTTCAAGTTTTACTTTTATTACTTCTATTATATTTATGGTCCTGTTACTTCTCTGTTTTACTCTCATAATTGCAAACACCAACTTATCTCCATGACGGCAGTAATCTTTGTTTTTCCCCTCACCATATCATGTAAAGAGAACATTATACTCAATATTTTTAAACATGTTAGGATTTCTATACCACATTGCCAATACTGTGTGACACAAGCCCACGGCAATTTTCTCTTGTATTATTATTATAACCCTAGCTGTTATCTCTATTATTGTTATTTCCATTTTATATGCTGCATGTTTTTGACACTACCTCTATTGTAAATGTGAAAAATTTTCTGTGTGATTAATTTTTATCTATAATTTGAGGAAATTAGATGCAATATTGTGATTAATGGTGAAAATTCCATTCTGTATCACAAGTACTGTTTTTGGAATAAAGTAAATCATTATTATTATTATTATCTGCAAGCTTTGAACCTAGATGTCACATCGCATCTGAATACATCGATTAGTGTCTTAGAGAATTTCAATCGTGAGTCCTGATTGCTCATCGGTAATGAGTTTAACAAGAGAATGTGCTGCTTCGCGAGCTAAAGTCTCAAATGGGGCATGAATTGTATCTAGGGAGTGAGATTCGCCTTGCTGAAGAGTTCCAATGCATATTGCAAACTTGAATGATTGGGTTTAATTGACAATGGACGGAAGGACTAGACACACGATAGTGGTCACTTCTCAGATGAGGAAATAATTGAGAACGGACTACAGTGAAAGCTGACTAATGATGGTCGTCTTGTTTGAAATTGCTATCCAGTTGAATTTCATTCACTATACTATGTGCTTTGTGGTGATACTTCAAGAATTATTTTCGATGGAAATTAGAAACTTATTAGTCACTGTAAACATTGTGAAGTATTTCTTTTGTCTGCTTTCATAGTCAATCTACTGGTACCAGAGCAGGTTGACACTTTTAGTCCTGAATATCTTGAGGGCAATGCTGAAAGAGGTAAGTCTTCTGTCTTTTGATATTTGATATTTGTCATTAAAGTACATATAATTTGAGTGTATTTTGATATAAATACTTTTCTAACACTCTGTTTAATCTTGGCTTTGCTACCGACATGCTAATATGTTGTTGTCAAAACTAACTGAGATAACCTTAATCTATGTAGAACTTTATTTATTGTTAATGTACTAACTGGATGCAATATTGTAGTAAAATGCTGAGAATTCCATTCTGTATCACAAGTACTGTTTTCGAATAAAGCTATTATCTTATCTTATCTTTATATAGGATTGTATATTATTTGGCAGGGTGTAGATAAGATGTTTGAGATGAAACTGACTAATTCCTGCAGTGTTGTTTCATGTAACAATAAATGAAACCTGATATGATAATGATGGTTTAGTTTACGACTGCAAGAAGTTAATTCCTGATAAGTAAAGTGCCTAGGCTTTGTGCGTACTTGGCCTCCCAGGGAACTGACCGTACGTCAATGGTTCAGTGGTGGTGTGGTTGCTGATCATGCGCTCCTAAAGCTGAATATTCCTGGGGTGCGCCCGTTAAAGAGAAAAGCTTGAGCGTAGGACTGACTACCCCAACCAGTTAAATATAACACTGTTACTGAATCTCCATAGCTCCAGACTGAAGTTGTATAATCCACTCGAAACACAACGGAATGCAGAAATGAACTTGTTAACAGGCCGCATTTCCAGACTTGATAAACATCACGTTCACGTCAGATACTGGTGGGAACTTATTTCTCTAAATGTCAAATAACACCATACATTGCATCACATCACAATCCGTAGCAGTGTTGTGCAGCATGAGTACACTCACCCCACTTGAGAATTGACAGTCGAATTAATAATTATGTGGGTACTGATTGAAAAATCCAACTGAATCAGTGTCGATTACAGCTCGTTTCATTATGTGTTTTATTTCGATAGTAGTTTTTGACAGAACTAATCTGTTTCCAGATATAATTGAAGTGGTGTTGCTTTTCAAACTGATTGTGTGATTAGAATAGTAAATGAAGGAGAAGACGTTCAGCGAAGAGTTCATCTTCTCGGCCATATTGTTCTCAAGCTGTAGAATCATATATATAAATGTATCCAATGACGTTACCAACGGATATGATATTTTAGAATATGAGTCATCAATTTTGAAAATTTTGAGTCACGAATTACGCCATGTGGAATGCGTTCATTGGATGGAAAAACTGAAGTAAAATGAAATAAGTCAGTTGATTAAAGTAATAAAGTTGAGGGTTGAGTAGAGTTCAACTGAAATAGGACGAGAGTCGAGTTTGGATCGCGATGTGCATCTACCGATTCACCTGCTCCATTGGAAACAGGAGTGTTTGGCATACCAAGTGATCCCTATCTAAACGTAAGATACAACACTAACCGTCATGATTTAATGCATGAGAGAAAAGATCTCCTCGCCTCTGCTCCACCATGGAACACGACGTAATCGTGACTGCAATCTTGACGACACATGAATAGTACTGTCTAAAGATAGGTTGCTAGTCCAAATTTTTATTCTCGACTTTATTTAACACTTTCATGTAAATACGTTTATTCCAGGAGAACGTAGAACATTCTGGCTTCTTCAAGAAAAGACGGACTCCCTAGTATTCGGATGGAATCGTTTTGTTGAAGAAGGCATTAAATACTTGGTATTGGAACGAGAAGTAGACTGGGCTTTAGATGACACCGTCGACGTCCTCTCTGGTAATACAGCAGAATTGAGTGTAATCGGGCGGCAATGCAAACCTGAAAAGTATAACATTATTGCAAAGTCAAAAATCGCCTTCGTTCCCTATGACAAGGCAAAGAGGAGTCTAACATACAATCGAGGTGAGTAGATTTTGTGCTGAAAACATTCGTGAACATTCAATAGTGTACAGTTGACACAAAATAGTAAAATGAAATGCATGTTCTCAATCCACTCATTTCTATGTGAAGAGGACTCCCGACGAATCCACATACACATGTTACCACCTGTCATGGTTTTCCATCAAATGACTCGCACTTGCAAGTCCATGTGTCAAGGTGGTTTGAAGATACCACAGTAGCCACCTACAGTCACCTGGCATCGGACGCATTGCATTACACTGATATGTGATTTCACATATCGGGGTTCGATCCATGTCCGACTCACTCCTTTACCTCACTAAGCCAGAAATAATGCTGGTAAAGAGAGAAGATTGGGCATGTGGCTAGCAACCTTATCCTGTAAAAACAAACACTGCTACAGAAATATCAAGCCATTAGCTTGAAGCCCTATGTTCCACTGGGAACATGAAGGAAAAAACTACTAAAAAACGTTGGTAGTAACTAACATTTCCAGGCATTTCCATGACTTTTCAAAACACTATTTAAATGTAGGAATTTAACAGGAAGTCGGAGAAACAATATTCTTTGTTGCCTGGAATCTTATATCTAGTTTATATTACATAGGTATTCTTGTTTGTTTACATATTTAACATGGACTACTGACCATTTGCATTCCATTCACTTTTCTGTCCTCAGTTACGAGAATAACAAAAGTCCATCTTCCACTGTATACAGATGCATCGCCTTATTTAACTTGGAAAACAGAAGGGTCATTTTGCTCTGAAGATGACGTGATAGTGATTTTCAAAGGATACTCTGACCAGCCGCTTGAATTGCACTTCATACCAAACACTGACAAGAGCTTTTATTTGGAAAGTGAAGGGAAGAGTGAGGGGCAAACGGAAGAAGTAATAATATCCTCATTGCATGGGAAACGTTTCTCCTTACCAAAACTGGGTAAGTATTATGAAGCGCACATTATTGATTGAGATTGACCGGTCGATTGCTTTTCTTTCTTCTCCGTGTCATTGCATGCGAACTTGTACTGGTATGTTATATGAAAATGCCAGAGATGGACTTCAGATGACCTCTGATATTCGCTGAAATGTGTGTCAGTCATGAGGGCAGAAAGCTCAGTGGTCACACATCTGATTACAGCTCTGGGTGACGCGAGTTCGAGTCCCAGAGAGGATGATTGTTCCGTTGATGTAACAGGTGAGTCTTACTGTAAGCGATAAGAAGAACGGAACGAAGGCCTTGCAATTCCAGTGTCGACTGCTTCCAGTCATCTAACTAAGTGACTAGTTCGGAAATGAGAGTTATCATACTTTAACGTATTTCGATTTAGGACGACAACGTATTCCGCTAGAAATGAATTGTTTGATAGTCTATGAAGTCGAACACTTATCAGAACGAAAGACACTGACTTACTCACGGATATATCGATGAATGTATAATCGCTTCAATGAATTATAAGCAAACGAAGACGAAACAGTGAAGAAACCGTCTTGGATGAAAATTTCAACGGTGAATAAAGAAATAATTATAAAACTACAGAGAGGAAACCAACTTGTCCAACGAAACACTGACCGACTGAGTAGATGGTCGGAAGCAGCATCATGATTGTTAGGAATCAACAGAGATCATCACTCGTTCATAGATGTTAGGGAGGCCAATACGAGTGAATGATATAAAGCTGAACACATCAGCATGGTGTTATCGGTGGTTTGGTAAAATCACTGAGCTGCCCGAATTCTCACAGATCACAACTTATCGAATTTACTCAGTTGTAATTTTGCTTTGACCACATATTTACGTCCTTGCAGAACAATCATTAATCACGTGGATAGCTGACTGATTCCGAGCATTCCTCTTGGTTTGTTTCGCGATGATCATTAAGTGAGGCGAAGGAGCGTGCCTCAGATAGAACGAAATTCCATTAAATGATGTAGTGTGGAATTCCGTTTCAATCTAAGATCCTGCAGAAGCACTAGATGAAACAAAGCTGAAACACCTGTACTCAATATGAACATGTTGTTCAGAACAAAGATATAACTACATATTATCTTGCACACGTATGAGTAACAGAATGTACAAAGCTGCTACAAAATGGGAAAGAGTAAATTGAGGAGAAATGTGAAGCAAGTACAATGAATACAAGTGACACTGAGTTACACACAAAGTGTGTGAGTTGAAGCAGAGGCAAAAATGCATTATATACACATATTAATGTGCATTCAAATAAATGTAAATTATTTGTCATTTAATCCAAGTAACCAGAGGAGGCGAATCGAATGAAGATTCATACAGTTATGAAAGAGGTGAGTTCAATTTCATGAGTTAATATGTATATGTACATAAATGTAATTTATTGCGTTATTTGCGTTCCGTTCGCGTTCCGAGTGTAACACAGGGCTTCAGGCTTTGGCTGTGAAGTTTCGATAGGAGTGAAGTTTGTTTTCACAGGGTTTGGATGCTAGACTGACACGGAACCTCATTTCCTCACCAGCACTCACTAGCGGCTAAACGAGGTTTTGCAGTGCGTTGTCCGGAGATCGAATATCCGACCACATGCGATGTGTTCACCCATTATTCTACCACACAACCACTGCCCCACACTCAACGTACTCCACGAGAATGAAAGTAATTAGGAATATTTCGGAGGAATAAGCTGTTGTAGGTAGTGAATGCAGGAAGTCAGATGAAAGTTGTACAAGAGCCAGTCGGGTGTGAATATATGCGAGAAACACAATGACAAACAATTATGTTTCTATTTCATATATAACTACCAAGTATTATGCGACTGTTTTATAAGCACAGACAACCAGATTGTGCTTCAGCATTTCCTGAAGTGCTTTATTCTCTATGACTCACCTTAGCTTTTCAGTTGTGGAGTCTACTCCACGCCCATCAATTCAAACAGCTAAATGTACTGGTCAGTATAGATTTTATTCTCTTGATTATGCAACATATCAGGATTGATTTCAGCCAACCACAGAAAAAAACTACATGAAATTTCAAGCAGTTAAGACTTGGTTCTGACCCACCTCGATGCGTGTGCTGGCGTCGTCTCGATGAATCGCCAAGACTGCGTCGACACAATGTTTAAAGAAAATAACCAGAAAGACTAAACGGAACAAACTGAAAGGAAGAGAACGCAAATGCTGGATAAGGAGAACAGCGAATCTATTACTGGCTCTGAATTATTATTTAAGCAAATACTACCCTCAGGTTCCGTGAATCCCCAGTCATACGGTCTACCGAAATTTCACAAATAGAACGGACCAGCCACCACGTCCAATCCTGGACATGACAAATTATTCATATCACGCTACTGCCGAATGGATCGCGGACATTCCTCTACCTATCAGAACTGATCTCTGTCAGCATGGTGTTTCTGATTCTTTTGAATTCGCTGATTCAATATCTGATTCTGATGTATCAGGGAGCAAAATGATTTCCGTGGATGTTGTGTCCGTTTTCACCAATGTTCCTCTCACTGAAACTATTTGCTTTATATGCGAATTTACTGAGGATAATAATGTGGGCGTGTGTATTCCGATTCACCACTTAAAGGAACTACTGTTAAGGTGCACTCTTAATATAGGTTCAGGTTCAACAAACACACCCTTTAGACAAAGGGATGTAGTGGCAACGCGGTCACCACTGGGTCCTTTACTTGCAGACTGCTTCTTGGCGAGTCTGTAGAATAGTATTTCACAAACCACTATCCGGGAAGAATAGGTTAGGGAGATCATTGAGGAAAGCTTTCTTTACAGCTGAAAATGGTGTCAGTTTTCCGATTTTGTTTGTAGCGAAAGCGTTGGAGATTCATCAATACTACCCGAACCCTGTATATATCTGGTCTTTTTGGGATCAACCAGCTTTATCCTTGTCCATCTCCACTTTCTCTAATTTGCATTCAGTTAACTTTCAGTTTTAGTCCTGCAAGTGGATAGCGTACTCAGATGATAAATGAGGGTGTTCATAATGAAAATTACAACGAGAAGCTGCACGAAATACACACAAATAAAAATACACAAAAGTATTCCAGCGTTTAAAATATCTTGTTCTCCATGTCCTATAATTATGACAGAAATTACATGAGACACACTTTACACACTCGCAAGTGTTTCGCCTTCAACTCTCAAAATACTCGTCCCACTGAGACCAGAGTCAGACAAGCCGAAACGAGAAGTTGATTGTCCAGAATACGAGATATGCATTTCGGGATCAGAATCGTCGAGCGATGATGACTGTTTATCCAGCTAGCATTCGTCCACGAATCACCGAGCCTAATATGACAATGTGCGAAATAGCCTTGACACTGGATCACCTAACCTTAAGATATCAAGTTGACTTATATAAAGTTTTTTAAAAATCTTCTCATTCCTCTACTTCGCCGTTTACCCCAATAATCGACTACTCACTATTCTTGCAGGAGACTTACTACATATTGAATCATGTTATTAGCACACAATGAAGTTAGGGCTCAGATAAAATAAGAAAAAGAGTGAAAGTGATTGAGAATGAAACGTTGTTCACATAAATAGAGATATCAACATGCATATGTTAAACCAGGAAACACTATTTTCAGGAAACCAGGAAAAACACAATTATCAAGAAGATGAGGAAGAAGAAATAACCACTGGTGAGTCCAGAATAAAAACGCTGAACTAATTGAATAAAACAAATAGAAAATATATATGTTAGTAGAAGTTGTAATTGATGGTCGGGACATTGAATTTCATCCCAATGAATCGATGGCCTACGAGCTTTCCTTGTAAACTGAAATTAGTCGGTCTGATCCTCGGTACGATGATTGCTGCATATCGCTTGAGAGTGTGAAGATAGTATGGAACAGACTCCACGTACTCCTTGCTTCCCAGTGGTCCTCTAACCGTAGTCACTACGTCATAGATCTTGAGAATAAATAGAGGAAACATGTGGTGCCACACAAAGGCCAATTGAGGAAGCCACTTGCTAAAACATCCATGTGTATTTTTGAACAGTTTAATAAATTTAACAATGGAGTGTCTAAATACATGCTCTTTCCAAATTCTTTAGAACGTCCAGTGATCTCGCGGAAGGAGGATGGTCTAGAAAAAAAAACAGGTGAGACCAGTTCATGCTCTGTATGCTCGCAGTACGCACCACACACGCAAATAGATTTCCTCTTACGCATATTTCCTCCCTCACACATTCAGCCATCACCATATTCACAGACTGACACACACATAAATTTACCTGCAATTACGCGCTTCCATTCGAGGCCAGAATGATTTTAGTCCGAGTCATCGTTCCCAGTTTGATAACTGATGTCATGGTGTGTGGCTGTGTGTGTGAGTGAGTCCGTACATGTTCGCTTAAGTGGGCGAGTTTCTGGTTGTTAACGTGGTGAAAGAATGGGGTATAGAGACGGAGGGTGGTGTTGAGTGCACTGGTCGAGAAAGACCTCATTCTCGACGACTGCATTTTCAGTCTCTGAAATTTCTGGAACGAGTTTTTTCTCAAGAATGTGGAACATCTCAGTTGGTTGTGTTGCCCGATAAGTTGTCATTGTGAAGAATACACGAAAAGATGAGTTCAACACCTGTGATCCATACGGCCAGTGTGAACCTTCCAATACGGAGTTGATTATCATTGTCAATTTCTTAATGACCTATTCGAATTCTAGTGATTTTCACTTTTCTCAGAAGCTGCAGTTACCACAGTAAAGAAGATGGCGTCGGTTGTAGAAGCCACGACACGTGAGTCCAGTTTACTTGCCACCAATGATTGAAAAGAAACGAAGTCATTTTTCTGCGATGTGTCAATACTCGTGAGAGTGAATTTGTCAGTGAACTGACTGATGCAGTCAGTATCCGATCTGCAAGTTGATTTCAGTTCAGATAGCCCTCTCACATATGTTATTGTCGTATATCTGTGTAGAAGGGTTAACGAAGGAGTAGGAGTGTATTCTGAATGTGGGTGGGAATGTTTGTTTCATCTTCAGGATGATAGATGAGAGGTCAACAATACTACCATTCTATTCAGGGGAATTCTATTAGGATGGGATGATCAAGCGAATATCAAATGATTATTGACCGAATGAAAGAAATGTAGGCGTTTTCTAGGGCTAAGCAGTAGACGAATATACATACGTATATATACAGTAGAAGCGAAAATCATTAACCATGAGACTGATGTCATTTCAACAAGTGACAGTTAAATTGTGTACACCAACGCTCCAGACATCTAAGGTGAAACGGTATACACAGAGCGATGTGACTATTTCATGACAGTCAAGTCAACGTTCTTACTTAAAATAATGCATCTGTGGATTCCTAATTCCAATGTATTTGCTTTTCACTTTCTTCAGAACCTCCAGTTGTCACGGCGAAGATGACGACTGTAGGAATCGCAGAACGTGAGTTCATTTTATTGCTACTCAATCTCCCTGAAAATAACACACAAATAATTACATTCTGTTTTAAGACTCGCCCATAGTGATGCAAACTTTTCTATTTTACTACCTGGCTGATTTTGCGGCTAGTCTCAAGCTCAGGGAAGCAGGGAGGGTCGCTAGTCGTACTGTAGACCCTGCACCACAAAATCAATCAAACTGTCACAGAAAACTCAACAAACTAGAAAAACATACAAATACTAGATTTTTAGAAAAGAAAACTCATTCTCCCTTGGAATCGGAGAAACAAGGTGAGGCTGGCTGATGAAAGCCTTCGGAATGCAAGTCAGCCAGATGAATAGTATTCCCCCAATGCAAGCAAAATCAAGCATGCAGATGTGTAATAATCGTGCAGTGTATGAAGCTAGGAAGGTTGTCCATGTAGCGAAGAAAATGAGGAGACATGGTAAGAAAGATATAGGAATCTGCGAGAACGGCTGGAATGGATGTGCACCAACCGAATCCCGAACCAGAGGGTCAGTAATCTACACCAGTCTCGTCACTCAGAAAACAACCACAAGCACACTGAGGCAGTCAGCGCCTATCATGATGTCACCAATAGCAGCCAGACCACAACGCACTGCCAACCAATCTCCTCTTCCACGATCATAACAACAGCGTTCAACTCAACAGGAAGGAATGGAGGGAGGAAGGAAGGAGGAAGTAAAGGAGGTTATAATCATCCGATGCTTCACACCTACAAACAACTCGGAACAATAGCAGAAAGGAGATTTCCATAGACAACTACAAACAGCAATGGACAACATCTCAGATGGAGACGTCAAAATCCTCGTGGTCGGTATGATTTCAAGCCACACTGGGAGTAGACAATAAAGCAGGAGAACTCATCAATGCACGAGAGGCTCTCGGAGAAATGAATGATAATGGAGAGCTGAGTGTCTTCAGTGATTTGGTGATCGGAGTCAGTGTGTACAAGCACACGGATATACAGAAAGCAAAGTTGCATAGCACTAAGACAGTGAAATTAGAGATACAACTTCACAGATTATAAGAGAAGCAAAGTTTCTTTCTGTATCACTCCATTTAGCGGCAAAAAGTGAAATCGGAAAACTCAGAAGAACAACAACGCAAATAGTGCACATGGAATTCAGGCAAAATAACAAAATTCCCACCGTGAGACAACAGTTATAATGGTCATCACCAGAAGAAAAACTACACAGAATACGCCTCACGAAACAACAGACAGATTGAAAACACGAACAAAATAAATCGACATTTTCCACAAGGAAAGAAGGAACACTAAATAAAATGTCACTGACAAACCAAAAGCGTAACGAAAAATAACTAAAACCAAATAGGAACGAAAGAGCTAACTGGTGAATATCACATGTGCCACCGACGGCGACAAGCACAATCTTTTCGAGTGTATGTGTTTGTTGTATCGTATGTGGGTGGGTGATCGAACTCACTGAATCACCACTCAGCTATATATCACATCTCTGCAAAAATTACTGTCAGGAAATTTCAGACAGGATTCACACTCACATCTCGCTATCTCTGTCCTCACAATGAGGAATAGTGTGGTGTATATTGACTGACACGACGCTGATTCACTCACTACACTTGTCACACTGCTCTCTTTTGCAGAATTCCCACAGACGACAAACATCGAGAAGGAAGAAGTCATGTCGGCGTCAATAGGTGAGTATATTTGAAATTCACACTCGCTTCTGTACATTACACCGATCACCGACTTCACAAAAGTACAAAGATCGGCACACTCACAGACTATTTGAGTAGAATCCTCTCAGATTTTGTGTTGTTCACCTGCATACATGATGATTTCGCGTCCCAAATATTTCCACATTTCAGCGTGATTTATTTTTATTTAGTCAATCTGATTTCTTTAAATAATGTGACATTCACTGTCAACATCAGTCATCCGGAATCTGTGGACATTACGCAAAGCGGCGTCTGTGCTTCTAACAAGCACTGATCGATTCGCTATTACGGCAATAGAAATTTATCGAATGAGGCTTTGAATGTTTGAAAGGAGGAAGCGAAGAGTTTCTCTGTTGTGTATTCGTGCCACATTCAGTTCCAGGACGTTTGTCATTCTAAAGCATATTTACTCAGTTTTCTGACATTTGTAGAGTGAGATTACACTTATCTACGCAAATCATAAAACGTTGTCATAGAAAAAGAAACTTTAAAGGCGTGGTGACAGGAGATGTATACCTGAAAATTTGTGAAATTCCCGTCCGTGCTGACAAGATCACTCAGCGTGTTGTATTAGTCGAGACTTAACTAACTGTAGGCAAAATGTGGCTGGTGACACGTAATTCATACTCATCCATGTAAACATTGAATAAATAGCCAAAACAACAATGAAGATATTGGGTGTAGTTGAAAAGTAAATACATCCTTTCATATTGTATAATCAACGATAAGAATTCGAACGAATTCAACAAGCAGAAAGCGAATGCATCCTGTGAATTATGGTCTTCGAAGTAACCGATTTCATGGAAGAAGTTGGTAAACCGTTGACGCTGAATATATTTAGTGATCACTTGATCAGGTTGGATACCTCTCACTACACACATATACTTGTATACGAATATGCATGTTAGGCAGTGAACGAAACGAAAGAGATATCTCCAGCGAATGGAACGTCTGGAAGCTCGACAGGTTATCCTGAAACAACAAAACTGGCCTAATCACAGGCAAAATTTATTCGAGAGAAATGCATCTGACATTCATATCACAGTAGATAATGCAATACGATCGCACACATCAAGCTCGGACATGCAATATTCTCAAACATTATGTTGATCGACTCAATGGCATTCTCTGCAGTTCTCCAGAATTCCAGACAAAATAGATCATATGCATGCACATGAATTTAGGGAGATAGAAGCCGTCAGTGAAAGGTAATATCAGCTGACTCAGAATGCACTCCGCATTCTGGTCATTGAGTTGATGCTAAAATGTTTCTGTTCAACTTGTCCAAGGACCCTCAAAATTTATCCCACAGAGACCTCAATATCAATGATTTACAGGACTGACGATGAAGATTGACGAACAGAATGCTTGAACTCCTTTCTCATGCTTCATGTCAGTGTCGTTTAACACACGATTACTTGTGAACCAAAGTGCCTTCAATACCTGTTTCCTCGACAAAGATGGAGTTAGACCACCACACGTCAAGTATCACTCTTCAGCTGAAAAACAGACGAGTAGCCTATTTTCATTAAATATATTTCGCTTCCTGAAAGGTCAGTACTAGTCATCAAATCACAAGGCTCTCATTCAGACTGTATGACTGTTTTCGTAAAAGACAACTTAATAACTGAAGATTTGCTGTCCATCTTTCAGTTTCGTTCCGAAAATACTCTCCGAAAAGAGACTTCTGTGAATTGACTTCACTCTGAGACAAATTATCAAATTATCTGCTGTAAATAGCTGCCATCAATGAGCTCAATGAAACTGCATTGCATTCACCTTCTCTCAGTCTTTCAAACAGAATGTCCAATGAGTAGATCGAGTGTGTGGTGTTCACTCCACATGTTGCCATTCAAGTGTGAAGTGCATGAGAATACGCACGTTTGCATGTAGACAGGTTATCCGTAATCACCTGGCGACTAGAATCGGAGTGAGATTCAGTAGGCATGTTTCCACTAGCCTCTTTTCACATGTGAATAACGGTTTC